AAACTTTTGACATAAGTGTTTCAATGTCATGAACTCTTATAGCACCACTATATAATAGTCTAGCAGATATACTATCCCAGTCAATATACTCTGCCTTTTTCAAAACCTCTCTGACAGTATTTTTCTTATCTAATGGTATACGTTCCATCTTACCTATAGGTATCTTTTCTTTTAACTCTTTCAATATTTGTTTGTGTCTGTATATGTTTGAGACGGTTCATATAGTTGTCGAAGTCATTGCATATAATCTTTGAGTCAGGAATATTGTATGGCACAAATGAGATATATAGAAACTTCCACCGAACAAGTCTACAAATGTTAGACCATTCGGTAGTTTCTTAAGTTCTCTCAATAGAATATCTTTACATCACTCTTATTTCCAAAGAAGGGTAACGGTGGTTTTGTAAAATTCATTTTATATATAATAAAAATGTTTTTTTCCCTGAAAAGTGACAGAAAGTGACAAAACATTTACGAAGAAATCTTGACAAATTCAAGAGGGTAGAAAAGAGGTTAGAAAAGAGGTTATATCTAACCTTCTACCTAAACATTATTTTTGTCTGATTTTACGAAGAAGTCTTGACAAAACATGAAAACATATATAATTTGTGAAAAGCTCCTGGAAGACCCGTATATAAGAACTTCATTTATACTAAACATCTTCGGGGCTAGAGGGCACGAAGTGCCTGGAAGCCCCACTGCCTTTTTTTTTTTTTTTTTTTTTTTTTTTAAATCCAAACATTTGATATGCAGATTGTTTTTTTCAGCTTATATCGGCGCGCGGCTTCGCCGCGCGCCGATAGATGCGCTATATATATACACTATGGGGGGTTTTAACGTGGATTTTGTTTTAGCGTGGAAACGTTTTTTGACCGTAGAGGTTGAAGGTTCAAATCCAGATTTTCAATTTTTTCCAAGTTGCATCTCAATGAAAATCCACGCTAAAACAGTCTAGCGCTATCTGTAGGTCCTACGAACAGGATCTCGACGGATATAATATCAAATACATGTGGGGATGCATATATATGAAATACTAATAAAAATGATGTAATTAATTTCTTTTAAAGTTTTTATTTTATTATAATATCAATTTTTACATTATAATGTATTTATTATTTCTTTATTCAAAAGTCTTAGCTGACAATGTATTTAAATTTATTTTTTTGATTAAAATGATATTATATCAAAATATTGATATGCAATGTCAATGTTAATAAACGATATGATAAATTAGGTAATATAGTATTTTTATGATTGATAATATATTTTTATAATTGATACATAGTAAGTTATGTTAAATTTTCTTGAATATATATCCACATATACATGTGATATTATATCCGTCGAGATCCTGTTCGTAGGACCTACAGATAGCGCTAGACTGTTTTAGCGTGGATTTTCATTGAGATGCATCTAGAAACATATTAAAGTAAATTTTAATAGATGTTTATATGACAAATATCATGTCATACCTAATTATGATTGAAATATATAAATATTTCCTCACAATATCTCAAAAGTTAAGGAAATCTCTCAAAATTGAGAGGCGATTTGCAAATAATCGTTATCGTCTTTTTTCGAAAATACACTTTTCCTAGTGTTCTGATTAATATTTTGTGAATGTAACAATGAAGTATATGTTTTAATAAGATGATAATATATTCTATCACTTCAAATCACATAAAAATTGCAAAATCAACGAGTTTTATAAGAACATGATTTTTTCCTATTTTTTTTGCTTCTGGATGCGTGTTTTGAAAAATAGATATTTTCGAATTTTGATTTTATTATAAGTATGAATTTTATATTAGGAATTTTTTGACCTATTTCCAATCATTAATTCCTAAGTTTTTCTAGGAATTAAATTGAGAAGAAATTAGGAAATTCGCTTTAATGCCATTACATACTAATATTGTGATGCATGTAGTTTATATTTAAAGAGGCTAATGTCGGAATATCGTGCATTTTATAAAAAATTCAAAGAATTGACAATTGGATAGCACAAATTTAATTCTCCAGACAAAGTATTATTGTTTATATATTCAAAACATTATCCTTAGTTTTGAAATGTTGGCAAAACATTTTCGTGTTATTTTTTGTGTTTCAGCATAAATTATGTATTTACTTATGAAAGCTAAGCATTTTATTCATTATCATAAAGATATACCATAACAAATTGATAACATTTTAAAAAAAAGTGTATTTTAGTGGGTATTATTCTGGCCAATGCCCATTTTTAAACGATTTAATATTGACCATATCAATATCCGACTCAATGTAAAAATTTAGATATTATTTTTTTCATTATTCAAACTTTGATAAATTTTAGTATAATGAATGATTTTGTTTCGTGTATGATACAGAAATGAAAAGCTTGATTAATATCATTTTGCATTTTTTCAAGAATGTTAGAGTACATCTACATTAAAAAATCGGATTCGAATTGCGATACTGCATCAAATTGTTGCACATCTGATAAGGATCTCAAAAGAGTAAAGTTAATTTTTTTGTGTTTTTTTAAGTTTTGGGTCTTAGTAAAAAAATATATATGCATCTAGGAACTAGATCACAGCAGATATAATATTATGTACATGCATATATATACAGGTTTGATATGATAGATCTTACAATGCTTATTGAAGTATGGTAAAAATTTATTCTTTCAAAATTCTGATGTTTTAGATGAAAATAGATTCAAATAATATAGTTCTTGTTAATCCTTTTATTAAAATACAAAAACATAATAATCAAAAAATTAATTTCAAATAAATCAAGTGTAATCTTTAATAGCAACCATGCATTTAATATCGTCATCTATATCTTGATTGATGTGCCATAGAAATATCTCAATAAATTATAAGTATAAGTCTAATTCTTAAGAATTATCTAAAAATTATTGTGTTAGAACAAAGTAATTGCTTAAAATATGTTTATGTATAACATAGATATAATAAAATCAATTTGTAATAGAATGCAAGTATTTGGATAAATAATTTTTCTAGCTTCGATTTTGAAGAGATGATACTGGGATTATGGTAGAACATTTATTTTAATGCGTTTTACCCTCAGAATTGTCTCAGAACTGCCAAATTTTAAAAATATTCATATTTATAACATAAGTTTTAACCTTCGATCTTGATTGGTTATAATGACTGATACTATAGGATTATGTGTGAACTTGCTTTTTCTGCATAGAATCTTAGGAGCAGCTGAAAAAGCTTTTTCCACGCTAAAACTTTTTTCCACGTTAAAAACCCCCATACTGTATATATAAGACTAAAAATATTTTTTTTCGTCGTCTTTAATTAAATCAAATTATCTAAATTTCATATTTTCGTGACTTACTTTTGACCATTTTCGGTTGCAATTTTTAATCGTTTTTAAACTAATAGCATTTATCAATTTGAGTTATATTATATTGCGGATTGATCCATTTAAATCGCCGAAAATTCAATGATCAAATAATTTCAAAAATAAATCATGCTCAAAATTCGATTTTAAGCAGTTAACTTTATTCCTTATTAGCAATATATATAATAATCTCATAAATCACATCGAAAAGCTGGACTGCTTGTCACAATTGATAGGTGCAGACATAGAATTAGATGTGTTCAACATTCACATGACTAAACATGCATTGTGACTTGACATTTCATTTAAAATTTATTAATTATAACGCTGTAATTGAATCTTGTATGAAATACTATTGTCGTTTTCTTTGGCACGTTGTTGTACAGCAATAAGATCTTCTAGCCTTTTCATTGGTAACAGTTTACATCATTCGAACTCATGTATTTACTATGGACAGAAGGTTAATCATTAATTTTAAGGACTAAACGCGAGGTATTTGCTAATAATTATCACCAAAATAATTTATTATGCTGATTTATACTATAAAGCTTGATATTCAAGATGTTTGATTTAATTTTGTTGTTAATTTTGTGCAAAATATAGCAAATAGAAAAGATCAATATAAGACAATTCAATATTAACTGTAGATTTCAAGTAGAAACGATAATTAAAAGATACTTTTTTTTCTAAGTCGAATAAGAATTTGTAAAGCGTGATTTCTTATTGATTGCTTTATGTATGAATAGTTTTTCCATTCTCAAAGCTTGTATTGTCAGGCAAAAATAATTTATTGGAAAATTCAAAGAGAAAAAGCTATTATTCATTTCTATCATAAAAGTAATCAATCTAAATTGCGCAATATTTATTTACATAAAATTTTGTAAATTACATAAATTTTTGATAGCAACAGTTTGTCGTTTATAAATTTCATTTTTTTTCTTATATTTAATACTATATATGAATTAAATTGTTTCATCTAAGGTCAAAAGTTTACACACAAATTTGAATGATTTCAAAAATACTTTAATAACGCAATTTTTATTAATAAGTATTGTAAAAAGACAATTCCTATAATTATAAAAATATATCATGAATGTGAATTTTACATTCAATTTCTAAAAGGTAAAGAAAGACTTACCAATGCACAGTTTTTATATATGAATAATTTTATTATCTTTATCATTTCAAAACAATAAACCTAACTTCACAATTATTTGAATGATATCTTAATTTTATACATTCAATTTATTTTATAATTTTATCTAACAATGCAAAAACTTATTGTCTTTTTATCTAAATTATCATTTATACTTTCTAACATATGGTCGTCATAATAATTCATTCATTCATCAAATCAACAAATTTTCCTCGCCTGCCGTTCTCCTTGCCAATTCCACGAATCTTTAATTTCACGTGGTGTTGATAACTCTACATTCCAGCCTTTGATTTCAAACGGCGACGTTATTCATGATGTTATTCCTCCACCACTTCAAGATCAGTACGCGAAAATCCCATTAGTGAAGGCCATTCAGATCTGCGAGTCCGTTAAACGAACTCTTGCCGGTCAAACTCCTCAAGATGAAGAAACAATAAATGGACTTTCACGTGCCAAGACTATTTATAGGGATTCATCGGAATTCTGCAGGATCATGAATGATTTCGTCGAAATTGAACACAAAGAAAACGAAGCTTTGGAGCATGCACAAAGTTTCGGCGGTATTTACCCAATTTGGAAAGATAATCAGCACTGCACCATTAAGGCCGTACCAGGACTTTATCGTAATGTCAGCCTTGGCTCAACAGTCAAGCTCATTCAAAATTTAGACGGAAATGAGGTTACTGAGACAGCCAAAGTCGTCCAGCGCAACAAGAACATGACAATTGAGATCAAATTCGGAATTCCATCTACTTTCTTCGAAACTCCAAATCCATTAACGATTATGAACGTTTTTAATTCACTCGTTTACGATCGCCAGAAGGCGGCCCTTGCTGCATTCGATACAGAGAGGAAGCCGATGGACAATTTCATTGCAGAATGCATACTTGGAAAGCCAGATAATTTCCAAGTCCGCAATAAGATCAAAGACTCACATCCAGTGATCCCAGAACTCCCACCAGCCTATTTCAAGAAGCTTAACCCATCCCAGGAGACCGCCATCAAGTTCATTCTCTCACATCGTTTCACATTATTACAAGGACCACCAGGAACAGGCAAGACAACGACCATTGCCGCTCTTGCTCTCAGTTTCGTCAAGAATGGAATCTCCCCTGTCCTCGTCTGCGCTCAATCCAACGTTGCAACAGATTTCGCAACATTAAGAGTCGCTCAGACAGGCGTTAAGGTCGCCCGTGTCCTCTCGAGCAACAGAGAAGAAGTTGCAGGCGACGTTGACAGGTATACAACTAAGAATCTCGCACGTACAATGTTCGGAGAAGAATTTACCAAACTTGAGAACGACAAAGACGAAGCTTCCCGCAAATCCATCACCCGTATGGATAGTGATGTCGTTCGCCAGTCCGAAGTTGTCTGTACGACCTGCGTAAGTGCCGGTGGTGCAAGATTAGGCCGCATTAAATTCCAAGCCGTCATTTTCGATGAGTCCGGACAATGCCTCGACCCAGATCTCCTCATCCCACTCGTCCACGGAACTCGCCAATGCGTTCTCGTCGGTGACCACAAACAATTGGGTCCTGTCGTTGTTTCAAGGCAAGCTGTCAAGGCCAGATACGATATTCCTCTCATGCAGCGCCTCATCCTCAACGGTATCCACCCATTGGTCCTTCGTACTCAGTACAGAATGCATCCTGGATTATCCGCCTTCCCAAGTGAAGCTTTCTACAGCGGAATGCTTCAGGACGGTGTCACAGCGGAACATAGAACATGGCCAAACCAGTTCATGAAGTGGCCAAATCCAAAATTGCCATTAATTTTCTGGAACATCCCTTCGAAGGAGGAATTCTACGAGTCAGGCCTCTCCTACGTCAACCGCCATGAGGTTGGCGCCGTCGCTGTCCTTCTTGAAGCAATGTATCTCGGTGGTGTCAAAGCATCTGACATTGGCGTCATCACTCCTTACGCAGGACAGCAGATCTACATGATTGAGACATTACCAGCCCTCTGCGCAAAGATTACGGACAAATCTTTCTTTGATGAAATCGAAATTGCTTCTGTCGACGCTTTCCAGGGCAGAGAAAAGAACTTCATTATTCTCTCCAACGTTAGAGCGAACGACCAGCACGATCTCGGCTTCGTCAAGGACTTGCACAGATTATGTGTCTCATTGACAAGAGCAAGATACGGTTTGATCGTACTTGGCTGTGCAGATACATTCTCAGAAAACAAGGTTTGGTGCAAATATATCAAACATTGCCAAGAAAACAGAGTTTTCGTCGATGGATCTATCAACGACTTCAAGCCTTCTAACTTCTCACCACTGATCGACCTCAATAAGAATGAGAATAACTCTGAATCTTCTGATGATGATGCTGAAGCTGGAACTATCTACTAAAAAAATTTTTAATAGATTTTTTATAAAAATTAGATATATACATTATTTATGTTTAATATTAAGTGACTTTTCTATTTCAATTATGTATAAAAGACACTGAATTTTACATATGAATTTAATTTTTTTAAATCTATTGCTTAATCTTGTTATTATTCATATACATCCTATTTTGACATCAAACATTAGCTTTATGATCAAACAGAAGCTTTTCATCTCATATTTATTGAAAGTAACTTATGTTTATGTATATGTAATTGATATAATATTTACAATAGTTATGATATATGCCATTGTTCAAATCAAACCGGGCTAGTTCAATCATTTTTAAAATTTATTCTCTTAAAATTCTTGATGATATGAATTTTTATAACGTACAGCTTCAGTATACTCGATTTAATCTAGGGCTGTACAAGATTTAAAAAAACATTGCCGGGTTACCGTAGAGGCCTAAAAAAATCGCGCCTCGGCGGCAAGCCGCCTCGGCATTAAGAATGCGCATCTAAATTTTTATATGTCCTTCTTTCTTTTATTTTTCCCTTCCCTTTCTTTTCTTTTTCTTTTTTTTCCCTCCTCTTGCTCTCATTTACCTTTTTTTTCCTTTTCTCATCATTTTTCAAAATTTTAAATTTTTATCAAAAATCTTGCCTATAAAAGCAGACTATGGAACCTTTTAATGCCTCTTAATCAATATTATACAGCATAAAGCATATTAAATGAAAGTAATTACGTATAAATTTATTTTATTATCTTATTTATTAATTCTTTAGCATGTATTGTTTAATATTAACTTTTCTGTACATTAAATATGATATCTCCAAAGTATGAATGCCTTGTAACGAAACGAAAACTTAATTTTATGTTGAATATTTGTCACAAACATTAGATTATTAAAATATATGTTGGATATCCCTTAGTATGAGACTTCATGACTCTTGTAGTCTAACGTGAGCTTTGGATTGCAAGCTCTGTGGTTAACGAACATAAATTAATTGTAAAGTTTTCAAAATTTTTCATCGTTTCTATCAGCATCTATTTTTCCTTTAAAATAATATATTTGTATGAATACAATATTTAGTAATTTTTTTATTTCCCATAATTTCATTCAAAATTTCAGAAAAAATTAATTTCTATTCAATATTATTTCAGCTTCAAAACACTTCATTCTTATAGATGTTGATTCACTAAAGTGTGATACTCAATGTCTTATTTCAATGAAAATTGTTCTGCAAATTTATTTCGCTTTTGACCTCACTTTTTCCGTAATTCAATTTTTTACTTTTAATATTTTAGATCTTCATAATATCATTTGAAAAATTAACCATTTAAAAAAATCAAGTTAACAATTCACTTTTTCCGTAATTCAAAAATCAAAAATATAAATAATATATCTTTTTATCAAATATTATTATTATATTCTATGAAAAATGAGGTCCGGAAATTTTGCGGATTCCCGTAACTCAATTTTACGGAAAAAGTGCAGTAAACTATTCAAAATACGGAAAAATTGGTGTAAACTAATGATTTTACGGTAAAATCACGGAAAGTCCCGGAAGAATATATGTGCCTATATGAAATTATACAAAAATGAATCAAACGCATTTTAAAAGATTGTTCTTGTATTATAAATGCTATTCGCAGATTTATTAGTTGAAGAAAATTACCAAATTTTTGCCGATTTACAAAAAATGATTTACAAAGCATATTTTTATAAGGCTTTAAAAATCTTTAAAATGTGACCGGTGACGGAAATCCATGGTAACCAACCGCGGTTCCCGTTTGGAATGACATAATTTAATCATATAATATATGTTGAAACAAGTATATTCTTTGTAAAATTTTCAAATTTCTTTAAAATTTTAAATTGCATTTTGTTAATTCAAATTTTGATAATGCATATAGAGATGATAAGAAATGAATAGGTAGGTCTATTGTTTTTGTAATATAATTTGTAGAATTTATGAAATAACATTGAAAATTTTATTGAATCTTAATTTCTATTGGGCTTTTTTGTTTCTGTTCCTTTTTGAAAGGCGGAGACCGAAGGCAATGCTCTTGGATAAAAAGTAGCCAAAAGCCATGCAAGATGATAGTAAAGCAACAAAATTGAAAGCATTTCTCCATCCTGGGTTATGTGGAGAATACCAGAGTGCTGTAAATTTGTTCATGTTAGCCATAAAATAAAGACCAACGCAAACAGCAAGAATCATTGTTGTTGAATGGCCAATACGGTCTTCTTCGCTATTGAATGCTGCTTTGTATTCTTCAAATTGCTTATCTTTGGCAGGTGTTTCCTTTTTCTCCTTTTTATTCTTTCCCATTTTTTTTATGTTTTTTTTTTCAGTTGATCGTATGATCGTGGATGATCGAGCGGATAAATATCTGATGAATTATATAATAATTTGGAATTTGTTCAAACCATCTCTTGTGTTCGCAAATAAAATATCATTGAAATCCTCTTCCAAATATTATTCTCAACAATCATTAAGTAATTGAATTGATTTATTCATTAAAACTTCCTAGTATTGTTATAAGTATCCTTTGTGCATATGATTTATTTGATATTTCAGATATTTGGAACATCATGCTTCAACATTACGATCTTAACCATGAAGTTCAATCCATATATGTTTTTAGAAATAGTTTTTGTATAAAAGCAATATCATATGTAATGAAATATTTACATTTTGAATAAATTTTATAAATTTTAATTATATTTTCTCAAAATAGTTTATTGAAGGAGAAACTTACACACTGCTTACCTTAAATTACTATGATCATTCAAATACAAAGAGAATTTAATATAGAATTTGAAAAAATCGAAAAATACGATCAAAGATCATCTTTTGAGAGAACGGTAAGTAAATCCTTACAATCTATTCTTGAAGGTAAAAAGTAAAACAGTATAAATTGTCTATATTATTTTTTGGATAGTAATTTATTTTAAATAACGACATACATAACAAATTATATGCTGGTATATGTATTTGTGAAGCCTTAATTAGTGATTAACCTTGTCATGAAGATCTTCTTGCATAAGAGGGTCTTTTATATCGTTTGTATAAAAAATAGGAGGTATAAGAGATTCTGTACTCTTTCCAATAATGCGAATTTGTTCTTCTGTCCTTTCTCGCCTTTTTGAACTGCATTTACAACAAAACATGATAACAATTATAATAAGAAGAAGCATGAACACTCCTGAGGGGATGTAAAGTATTAAATCCATTGTTCCAATTGACATTTTTAACTTTTGAGTGAAGGATGATAAATAAAATGACACTTTTATTGCAAATAAAAACTGCCAGATTTTATAAGATTTTAACCATTATTCCTCTGCAATAAAGGATTTCACAATGATATAAGAGTAGGACAGTTAAATACCCACACCAAAATATTGATCGGAACAATGAGGTTTCGTTCTTATACAATGTGTTTCTAGATTTGAATTATGCCAGAATTAAAAGTAAACATATATCAATATCATTACTATCCTATTATATAAATTGTAAGAAATCATTCAATAATCAAACAAATCTTGTTTAAAACCCTATAATTTTTCAAATTATTTAGATTCATATTCAAAGCAGAGCACTAACACAACTTTATGATAACAAAGTAAAAGTATAAGAGAAGACCACATTGTTTCCTAATTTCTTTTTTCCATAGTGCAACAATTTTCTCAGGATTTGAATTACCTTTAGAGATATTTATATTTGTGTGAACATGAGTTTATTGTGGAATTGGAATTTGGATCAATGTTGAGGCAATTGAGTAAATAAATAAAGAATTTTGATTCTCGATGAGATTTTAAGGAATGACCTTATTCAAAGCAAATATTCTCAATCAGTTTGGGTTAGTTTCGTAAAATTTTAAAGTTACTATAAAATATTCCATAATTATGGATTACAAAGATGAAGATGATTTGCCAAAGGAGATTCCATCAAAGAAACAAGTAAAAAGCTTTATTGAATCATCAATAGAAGCACAGGATTATGATGAAAATCAAGTTAAATCTCTTGAAAAAGCATTTATTCATTCAATTCAATCCGGAAATACAGATGATCTTATAATTATCTCGAATGCAATTCAAAATATTATGTTTCAGTATCCAAATGAACTATGTAACACATTCCTTGCAGATAAATTTCATGAATTTCTCGATGAAATTTTTTGTGAAATGGTTTCAGAAGAAGATATACCAACTCAAATCACCACAGTTATCAATCTTATTGCAAGTCTAATTGAAAATTCCTCAATAATTGGCAATTTCTTCATTGAAAGAGAATATTCAAACGACGCAAATGTTTTAATGTCAAGAGAAGAAACATTTTTGACATCTCCATGCTTATATCTCTTCGCAGTCTTACTATTACGCAATGCAATTAAAAAGGATGTTGATGAATGGATTGAATTTATGTATCAAGCAGTTTTAATATATCTAAATGGTGCCCCTCGATCATCATATAAATACACAGCATTAATTTGCAAATATGTATTGAATGATACGTCAATTGAAAAAACTCCTCAATTAATTAGTTCAATGACATCAGTTATGTTGACTTTAGGATACATGATTGAATTGTATAATGCAGAGGAGTACGTTGTCCTCCTTAATCAATGTGCAATTAAAATTTTAAGTATTGATATGAATATTATCCAAGAATCAGACTTCAATGAGTTTTTCAACTTATTAAATGATCATTTTGAAAGTTTATTAAACACAAGACTCATAAAGAATTATGAAAAAGCAAATTACACATTTTTTAAACTGATTGGCAATGTTTCACGTGATTATTCCATTTCTTATTGCAAGAATCTCATTAATTCATTACAATTTCAAGTTATAAAATTGATCATTTCAGAATGTTCCGAAGAAACTTGTTCAGAGTTCGTCCATTTATTAGCTTTTTATCTAGAAACAATTGATTCAGAGACTGTCATGTATGTTGACCTTAGACAGTGCGAAATGATTGGTTTTTTGAAAACAAATTTAATTCGTGGAA